GACAGAATATTTTGAGATGTTTAGAGATATTGCGCATATGAAATAAAGCAGCTCTACATATTTGTATAATGTCCTGGTCAAATATTACTCCAAGATTCTGACAGTGATACTGGAGGCCACGGTAATTCCATCCAGAGCAAGTATCTGGTTAGATATTATATTTCTAGGAATTCTAGGGCCACGTACAATCAGCAGCAGAAAGTTAGACGTCACCCAGGTCTTTATATCTTTAAGACATTTCAGCAATTTAATTAATTGGTGTGTGTTCCCTGGTTTTATGGATAGACAAAGCTCAGTGTCATCTGCATAGCATCTACTGCAGGGGTCCCCAGTCTTAGTCCAGTGTCCCTGCAGGTTTTAGATCGCACCCTGGGTCAACACACCTGTATCACATGATTAGCTCATTACCAGGCCTCTGGAAAACTACGGCTGTGTCCCAATCAAGAGACCGCTCGCTTGAAGTACGCGCACTACGTATGGTGCGTACTATAAGTACGAGAAGTGCGGAAGTGAGAGGCTTGTGAAATGGGACGTTCTAGCCTTCATTGCGCTAGCAACCATGATACTAACCACGAGAAACGTTACATACAGCTTTGTTTGACAGAAATGAAGGAGAAAAATGTTTTGTTGGTCATTCGTTTTAGTCATGACATCACTCTGATTAGTTGAGTATCTGAGGCTGAGACCACGGGACTGTAAAACATGACTGTTGGGCTTCATTTCTGTGCTGAACTGTCATTTAAGATTAGTTAGTAATAACAATTAGATCACGTTGTTCATGAGACTGAAATCATCTCACTGTTGGGGAGAGAGAGGGGGAGCGAGAGAGCGAGAGAGGGAGAAGAAAGTATACAAACACATAACATCCTTATAGAATATGATGTTACACTATAGATCACATATAAACAATTACAGCAATATGATGCAACAAACACAGCAGTGCTACTGATCCAAAATACTCAAAGCTTCATAGAACTGAAACAAACATTTATTTTTAGCTCCATTCTGCTGCTGATACAGACTTTAGGTTTCTGAACATTAAACTTGTTGCTGCCTTTCATAGTGTGTAACTTGAAGGCCCTGAGTACTTTCTCCCACACTGAAAACACTGGAATGATAAAATTATTTGAACATTACCTAATAAGACTGATTCAGAACAGACAGTTATGTTAAACTTTCCTAGCAGTCCTTCACAAACAGGGAACAGTCTGTCTATTCTCTCCATCTGTCAGCTGCTGCTGGCTCTTCCTCCTCCTCTTCCTCACACACTGCTGAGTTTGTCCTGGTGGATCATCAGGGGTGCAAAGCCTCACAGATGATGTGCAGCAGTGGGTCCCTCAGTCTGTCCTCACTTTGGACACTTGCAGTCGTCACACATGGAAATCAAATGTGTGATAAGCTGCAGGATTCAAACACAAGTGTAACTTATAAACACATGTTCATACTTTTATTCCACAATCAGAGAGAAACGGAGAGAGAGTGCAGGACAGACAGACAGGTGACAGTCTCAGGTGTACACACTGCTACAAAACAGGAGGATTTAGTGTTTGTGTTATTACGAGTGTAAACAAGAAGAGTTCCCAGATGGTACAGTGGACACATGTGTGACTCCTGTGATTAAAGCATCTTTCTTTCAGCTTAACGAGTGAACCGTCAGCTCGTTCAAACACACGTTAAAGTCCGTTTGGCTCGACACCACCGAACAGAGGCAGCAATATAACATAGCTAACATTAACAGTGCAGTGAATCCTGCTTGTGCCGTGATATTCATGACTGCAAACCGAGCAGCATCACTGACTTTCAGCTTGTTGTGTTTGTGGATATATGACTGACTTTAATTATCCACAAAATCATCACAATCTCTGTAAGATTAAGGTCAGCTATTGAGCGGCGTATATTTTAAAGTAAAGGCTTTAAAACCAAGTAAATGCTGAAAGTACAAACATGACTAATGACACATAACTTTGCCGACATGTGGCCAACAGTAATGTTTTAATGTTCTTCATTATTCAACATTTGCACATAAATAAGTGATATATTATTCAGTACTTACTTTTATCAGTTTACTCCTTGGCCACTCCGCTTCTGCCGTCTGCCGCAAAATTATCCACACCGACTGCCGTGCTATGAATTGTGGGATATATTGGGCCACGAAGTCTACACCGCCACAGCCTTAAATTTCAGGGAAGTGAAGGACGCATTTGAGGGCCGCATTTCAAGCAGCCTTTGAATTGGGACAGCCTTCACTGTGATGTAATCGGCCTTAAAATGCGGCCTTTAAGGCTGCAGACCCTGAATTGGTATACAACCTCAGTGAGAGAGAAAGGTGACTGAGGAAGAAATACTCAATGCATCATGGGAAACCCCCAGCAGCAACCACCTATTGCAGCATACCTAAGGGAAGATTCAGGGTAGCCTGTCTAGCCATAACTATATGTTTTAGTAAAAGGGAAAGTTAAGCCTAAACTTAAAAGTAGACACAGTGTCTGCCGCCTCAATCCCAACTGGGAGACAGAGGGGCCAAAAAACTGACGTCTCTACCTCCCATTCTACTTTTAAATACTAAAGGAACAAGAAGTAAGCGCTGTCAGTACTCTTGCTGCAGCATTTTGGATTAACTGAAGGTGTCTCAGCGAGTTTTTCGGACATCCTGATAGTAGCAAATTACAGTAGTCCAGTCTAGAAATAATAAATGCATGGAGTAGTTTTTGAGTGTCACTTTCACAGGATACTCCCAGAAGATGGAAGAACAGCTCTCAGCCAACAACCCAGCGTCAGTGTGGAGGGGCCTGCAGGAAATCACCAGCTACAGACGCCCCCCACCCACTGTTGAAGAAAACAAAGACCTCGCCAACGAGTTAAACACATTCTACTGCAGGTTTGAGACGGACCGACTCCCACGCCTCACCCTCCCCTCCCCAGGGACACTACTTCAGACACTGACCCCCAACACACCTTCCATCTCTCCCCCCTTCACCCTCACCCTCCCCATTCCAGTCTCAACGACCAAGTGAGGCTGGGGGAGATCACCTCTGAAACTCGGTCCCTAAGATTCACATCATGACGTCCAGCCGAAAAATCAGCTGTCATGTCAATATAGACCAACAACTTCTGAAGAGAGGCAGTGCCAACAAAGGAAACTCTGAAACTGAGCAACTCAAACCACAACTTTAAAAGATTATTTTCCAAAATTAATATTTTTTATACACACAAACACAAATCAGAATGTTTAATACCAACAGCAACTTTGTTAAAAAATTAAAAGATTTTAAAGATCTTATTTTTTCATAAATTTCAGGTCAGAATTTTCAGTAAGCTGCAGGAACCCTGTTCAGTGTCAGAACAGCCAAGTCTCCTCTGATAAACCTCCATCTGTGTCACTGAGAACATTTGTCATGTCAGTTTTTGGTTTGATATACAGGAAATGACATCATGGATCAAACTCTTTGTCATTAAACTATTTCTTTATTTAACATTTCAAATTTTGGATTAACTGTTGAAGGATTTCATAACACAAACAGCCTGAACAAAAAAAAAAAAAAAAAAACACCCAACAAAAACACATGGATCAAAATACATTCAATAAAAACATAATAAGAGGAAACAGACTTTTTGATTCAACTGCTGGAACAAAGCTAACCACTCAACACCAACACTACAGTAGAACAGTTTAGAAAGCTTAAAATGTAACAAGAGGCACATTTTCATTCATAGCTGCCTTATCAGATCTTTACAGGAGATTCACTGTGAACTCTGTGGAGCCTGATCTCAAGGGTTTTAAGTCTGACCCTGAAACCAGACGAGGATCTTTCTGTCTCTGCAGCTTCACAGAGATGGGAGTGATTTCAGTCCTGCATGATCACGCTGATGTTTGCATAGAGAAGACAATGTGGTGAATATTTTGGCACATTGGTAACAGTGAAACAGTTTATTAGTAACGTGGGATCGTTTGTGTTCGGAGTATGAACTGAAATTCCTGAAGCTCTTGTCACACTGGTCACAGCTGTAGTTTACTTCCATGTGTGTACGTTCATGATAGTTACGATTAGTTGATTGTGAGAAGCTTTTGTCACAGTGTCTGCACTTGTATGGTTTCTCTCCTGTGTGGACTAATTTGTGTTTTTTAAGGTGAGTTGCAGTGGTGAAGGATGACCCACACTGATCACAGACGTGCTTTCTAACCCCATTGTGATAGAGTTCGTGTTGTTTTAACTCACTTGTTGTGGGGAAGCCTCTCCCACATTCTTTACAGTAGTTCATTTTGTCTCCAGTGTGTCTACGTTGATGTCTTTTTAGGGTGATTTGATGTCTGAAACTTTTCCCACAAAGGTCACAACGAAAGTCTTTCCCACCACCACAGCGATGACAGGGTTGAGAACTGGATCCATCTGTGTCGCTCTGCTTCTAAACAAAGACACAAAGACAGTGTAAGTCAGTCCTTCAATATTTTTATTGCTAACGTCACCTGAAAATGACAAAAAACAAAACATCATCTGTGTCAACATCCAGGACTAAGACAAGACATAAAATAACATCCATTTACTTTTTGCATTATAATACTCAGCTTAATGTGTTGCAAAAACTATAATAGAAACAATACTACAATAACACTAATATAATTCTCAACTGCTACCACTAAAATACTGTAATTCAAATCTGAATAATCACTCAGAGCTGCTTTTCAATGCAGCAGAAATGCTAACACGTTGCTAACAGATGTTTCAGAGAGTCTGACTAAAAGCACAACATAAAAATAAAAATACATACCTCACAGTAACTGCACTTGGAGAGTGTCTTTCTGGTGTGGATCTGTTGGTGATCTTTCAGGTATTATGGAGTTTTAAAAGTCTTCTCACACAGGTCACATTTATAAGGTCTCTCCTCGGAGTGGGTAATAATATGGTTTTGTAAGTTTGTGTTTGTAGCAAACTCTTTGCCACACTGACCACAACAGTACACATCATGTCTGGTGTGAATGCGTAGGTGTCTGTTTCGGGTCCCTAGCCGGCTGAAAGTTTTTCCACAAATGTCACAGCTGTATGCCTTAATTCCAGAGTGGGAAACTAGATGACTCTGTAAGCTCTTACGCTGAGTAAAAGCTCTGCCACACTGATCACAGCTGTATGCTTTAACTCCACTGTGGATGACTTGGTGTTTTTTTAGAGCATCCTTCCAGGAAAAAGTCTGTCCACACAAGTCACAGCTGAACGGTCTCTCTCCAGTGTGGATGACCTGATGGTTTTGTAGTGAAGCCTTCCTAAGAAAATCCTTCCCACACTCGTCACAGCTGTACACTTTAACTCCACTGTGGACGAGTTGGTGTTTTTTTAGACTACCCTTCCAGGAAAAACTCTTTCCACACTCGTCACAGCTGTATGGTTTAACTCCACTGTGGATGCGTTTATGATATTCCAAGCTATCCTTCCGAGAAAAACACTTCCCACACTGATCACAGATGTACACTTTAACTCCACTATGGATGAGCTGGTGTGTTTTTAGGTGTCCATGTTGGCTAAAATCCTTTCCACACTCATCACAGCTGTATGGTTTAACGCCACTGTGGAGGAATTGGTGTGTTTTTAAGCTTCCAGAGTGGGTAAAAGACTTTCCACACTTGTCACAGCTGAACGGTCTCTCTCCAGTGTGGATGAGTTGGTGGGTTTTTAGTGAATCCTTCTTAGTAAAATCTTTCCCACACTCGTCACAGCTGTATTTCTTCTCCCCCTTTCTTCTGTGAGGTTTGTCGGCCTCCTGAGAGCGCTGACTTCTCGCTCCATGTTGGTCCTGCAGTGACAGAGATACAAACACAGGCAGTGAGTGAAATGTAGGGTTGAGCATCATCACTGATTTCGATTCGGGGAAATTTTGGCTCAGACAGTCAGAAATATTAGAATTCTGATCACTATGTACTTATCCATATTTTATATTTCTAAAATGAAAGCTGACATGTGTGAGACTTCAACAGAGGTGTAAGCATCACAGCAGATGCCTTTGTGTCAAAGTAACTGAGGATAAAACAGAAAAACATGAAGGAGAATTTTCTGGCCTGGGTTTAAAAATATTCTGCAGTGGATCAAACACGAAAGAAAACCATTAATCAACATATGAACCGGCAGCGCTGTAAACAACAGTCTTCTTTTGCTGCTGGTTCAGTCAGTTTTGTTTGGAGAGTGACAAAACCTGCAGCTTCAGAACCTAGCGCCAAGAAAGATGTAAACATAAAGGAACTGAGAACGCATCAGAATCAGTGAGCAGCCGGCTTTCAGCCCCGACGGCACGGACGTCTTTGTGCAGAATCCGTGCACATGCTCTCATTTACTGTTTTAGCCGTTTGGTGGTTGTTGAAATTTTCTGAGGTTTAACCTGAGATTCTGGCGTTTTGGGCAAAATTAATTTATATTTAAAAATCAAGTCAGGATTTTAATGAATTGATATCATGTTATCCAAGCTACAATCAATTTTAATCGATAATCAAAACCCAGTGAAATGCAGTCGTGGAACAAACTGTCATTACTTGAAGCTTTTCAACAGTCCTCTTTGGTGACATCTGCTGGTCAAAATATGAAGAGCAGCTTGAATCTACAAATTATAATGAAGCGCTTCATTATGTTTAGTATCATGTGACAGTTCTGTCTGATATCAGGCTACTGTTGTGTTGCTTTGCACATGTATTTTCTGTGTGATTGAAAAGGTTTTGAAATTTCATTAATAAATAATTTTGATGAATATCCTTATTTAAACATGTGCTGTGGTGTGGTTTCTCTTTGCTTGTGACTTCTTGATGTTTGTAAACATAATAGATATAAAATAAAAACATAGTACATAATAAAATACAACACAGTCATATAACAGGTTGGGAGGATGAGAGTTTTAGACGTGACTGATTATTTGGTGAAACTGTGATACTTTCCTCACCTCCTGTGTTGAGCTCATTGTTTCCTCTGTAGTGACTCAGCTGAGTCCAGATGGCTGAAAATGTTCCTCTGCTGCTCCGTCAGACTCTTCTCCTCCTGCTGATCAGCTGGGACACAAAACAGATCTTTGTTAGGCTCCACACTGCACTGAAGAGTCAAAGTGTCTCATATGTTCATCTGACAACACAAAGTACAAATTTCACTCTGATTGCTTGTAGAAATCTTGTGAGACGTGTTGTGCTGCAAAGTGAGGAAACTCTCTCACTCACTTATACTTCAGGAGGAACTTTGTGACATTGGCTCTAATATTCTAAGCAGCCCTTTACTATGACAGGGCCAGAAAGTCCTATTTGAAGGTTTGGGAGAAGGACCATGTTAAAGGTGGATTGGGGTTTATACACTTTGTTATGATACAGGTAAGGCTGTAAGAGCCTGAGAAGGTGTCCTGAATGAACCTCTAAAACCAGTTTTCAGCTAACGACTCTGCTTCAGTCTGGAAAACAGCAACTACAAGTTTAAAGACTCCATCAACAATTCACACCCAGCAACAGCCTGAACAGCTCCTCCTGTGGTTTCCACAAACAGGGGCAGACCTGTTACTCCCCCACCCCACACTTTCAACTCCTTCAGGCCCCCAGTCCCACCACCTCCACCATGCAAACAGACTCTTTAACATACAGACCCCAACAAAGCAGCTGAACCAGACTCAGGGTCTCCATCATAAACCATACAGGGGGATCACAATATGAAGCAGTTTAAGACTATTGTTGCTGTGAACTTTCACTATAGAAAGAAAACTGAACAGAACATCTGAATTCACTCGATGCTGAACATTCATTTCATAGAAAGAAGAATTGTAATTATACTCAGATCTACCTGTGCTTTAATGATGGGGCCTTTAAACTTACACATTCAACAGTTTTAACCAGCTTTCCTTCCTGCTTTGACTGCAGCTGTGTTTGACACAGGAAGACATTATTACATTCTTCAATATTATAGTTTATTCTTTTTGGGGGAAGTGCAGCTTTAAACCTTCACATGGTTCAAGTCAACCAAAAAAAAATAATCAATCAGAAGGATCACAAGTGGACAAAATATGTATAGATAAAATGAAATCAAACCCAACATTCAATCCACAACATGATTAAAAACATGATTCTCCCAAATCACCAAGAGCTGCACATTAACCACCACAATATATTTTTATTCTCTGTGCTTCCAAATATGAACACTGTTTACCGTATTTCCCGGACTACAAAGCGCACCTAAATATTAGCCGCACAAGCTAAAATCAGGGGAAAATCCTGTTTTGTACATACATTAGCCGCACCTGACCAAAAGCCGCAGGTGTTTCAATGTTGACTTATCATATGTAAGAGAATATGCACAAAGGGAATTGTCAGGAAAGAGATGGCTGTTTGGAGACATCACTTTTATTAATATTTTGAAAAACAAGTTATGGGTACATATTTGCACATGTAGTACATAACAATAACCTACAGCACACCAGAACAATAGATTCGGACTACCTTTTAGGCTCAGGTGCAGTGACACAGCTTTAACAAGAAGAAAAGTCAGTCATTCACCAACATCTTTCTCTTCTTCCTACGCACTAAAACCACCAAAGTCCTCTTCTCCAGTGTCGGATACAAACAGGCTCATGATGGCTTCGTCATCCACTCTTCTTCTCTCCTTCGTTGTCACTTTCAAAACCAAAGAAATCCTCATTGTCAGTGTCAGAGTCGAACACCCTCAGAAGGGCCGTGGCGGTGTCCTCCTCTCCATCATGCAGCAGTCCAGCCCTTCAAAATCCGTTGGTGATCGTGGATGTTTTCACACTTTTCCACGCTGTCAGAATCCACCGGTGGAGTTGGGCATAACTTGCTTTTTGGGCATAACTTGCAAGTTTATCGCCGCTCGTCATCCACGCCTCCCGCTGAACGCGTAGCGCTACTTTGAAGTTTGTTTTTCGCGCTACTTCGTACGGCACTACGTTGCCTGGCGGACGGACATGTGACTAACATACCACTCTTGAACCCCGATCCTTCCGCCAGGCAACGTAGTGCCGTTGTTGTGCCAAAAAGTGATTGTCTGCCAAAAACTGATTTCCGGTATTTGCCAAAAAGCGATTGCTCATATTTAAAGTGCTATAAGTAACTTGTTGGGCTATAATATGTTAAACATATGTCAAATGCATCCCTTATGGATGACATAAAGTCATCTTGAGCCACAAACAACATTCGTGTAGCAAGATACAAGCCGCAATCAGTTTTTGGCAGCGACTTTTATATAACCTTTATTTATGCAGTAAAAAAAATCTCATTAACATTAAAAATGTATTTTGTAAGAGTAAGTTGCCCAACAGGACAGCAGAAATGTCAGCAAATATTACAGTAGTTCTGTAAAAATATTTTAAGTGGGGATAAAGGACCGGATTGGTTATAATGTAAGTACAAGTTGTAAAGATACTTAAAAAACAGATAATTTTTTAATTCTTTATGTAACCCCTTTGTATCCCCTGTTCACCGAAGTCTATTTACGAACATACGTAAAGATATTACACATAAAAAATACACAGAAACACTGGAAATCAGTTTTTGGCAGACAATCACTTTTTGGCACAACACCGTACAACAGCGGAACACACAAAACAAATCGTCTTACGATATGACAAAAATCACGGACAATCCATAGAAAAGCCGCACCTGACTAAAAGCCGCAGGGTTCAAAGCTTGTGCAAAAAGTAGCGGCTTATAGCCCGACATTTACGGTACTTTCATCTCTGTTTCATTAGTTTTTGTTAACATCTTCCTGTGCATCACTTTACAGCAGCCACACTCATTAAAATGAGACTTTGTAGGAGTTCACTTCCTCTCATGTGTTCATCCACAGCAGCTGGACAATAAAGTTTATTGTGACCCTGATACTGCAGCAGATCGCTCTCATCCATTTCCTGTTATCACTTCAAATAGAAATCAGGCTGTAGAGGTTTGGTGCAGGCAGAAAAACAGCTGCAGGGACAATGAAAAGACTTTTCTGCTCCAACTTCTCCCAGCATGCTGAGCTAATGGTTAGTTGGTGTTTTTCTCCAAACACTCTCTCACTCTTCTCTCAACGTGTTCACAATAAACTGTGAACAGACACCGAGGAGAGCAGCAGAAGACCTCATTCAGGAGCTAAACTCAACATGAACTGAACTCACAGTAAAGTTAGCTCGGTGCTTACCTTTAGATGAGCCCACAAACCGAGAGAAACTCCGCGATGAAGCTGGAACTCTTTCCAAACACAGGAAACAGATCAGGGAGCAGAGACCCACGTGGTTCACGCTGATCTCAGCTACGATCCAGGAGACAAGGGTGGGCAGATCGATGCAGATATCGATCAGGACGTTGGTAGTGGTTTATGATCGATACTTTACGTTCGTCTCACTCGTCTAAGTTTAGAACTTTACTCTCTTTGGATGAAAAAGCAGCTCTGTCTAGTGATGGGACGTTCTGTATCGAGGCTTCGGAGCGTGTGTCGAGTAATGGAGGGGGCGTTTCCGCGAAGCGCGTATCGAGGCTTGCTTCATTTATGGGAGGAGCTGAAAATGATGACGTCCGAAGCCTCGCTGCCCGGCTGTACCACGTGACTGGTTCATGAAGTGGTTCGAACTTTGCCGCGAGATATGACAGCGATATAAACCCCTCAGACTTCATTCAAAATGTGGGTGTTTGATGGAGAGTTGCGGTTAGTGAGAGTTTGGAGACAGTTTGGAGGTTTATGAGAGTGAGGAGAGAAAGTCAGGAGAGAATGGAGCCAGCTAAGAAGAGGAGGATGTCCTCCCCTGTGTGGGAACATTTTGATCTTATTCCTCCCAACAAGGTATGTAAATTTCTACAGAAGACGTATTGTCATGATACTGATGGTGCAATACAATTTATGTTGAGCTGTCTTGACTTTTGTACAAGGTGAAGTGTTTGCTATGTGCCAGGGAGCTGGGATATAACAACAACACCTCATCC